CCAGCAACAAGATATCCAAAGGATGGTAATTCTATGTTTAGGTGTGATTTTTGTGGTAAATTAGGCCATCTTCGCCCTTATTGTTATGTGCTTAGTGGTTACGATTTGCTGAGAGAAAATTCAAATGATCAATAAGGTGGTCACTTTTCAAAAAATCATGATGGAATTTCTCATGCTAAGCCTAGATCGGTTTGGGTGAGAAAGGTTGATTTGAGATGAAAAATTTATGGTTTTGTACATATGATCTTACTTTTGTAGTTGTCTCTTTTGATCGTCTAGTCGTTCTTCTTTGAGTTTTTGAGTCTTTTTCTATGTTCTTGAGTCTGCTACATTTTTATCCAATTTTCAATCTCAAGGGGAGTACCTTAGAATGGTTGTGGGAAAAAGGAATTGTGTGGGCAAACTTGAATTTTGAACATATTGCTTTTGGCTTAATTGGTTTTGTGTTTCTGAACTCTTTGTTGTGAAAAACCTTGTTTTATAATTGCATGACATGTTTTCTTTTTGTAACTCATATCTCACTTGAATACTGGTGAACTTTGTCTCATTGTGTACATATATTTTGGGAAACCTACATGTTTATCTTTTGCTCATAGGAGTTCCTGAACCTTGTGTCGATTTTTCATTAATGTAACTTTTTCGGATTGACCATTATCGAGCTATCAATGTTTGATGAGAATATGCTGAAATGTTGATTTTGTGTTATGTTCAAGGAAAAGGGCTGCATAAGAGAGTGAATTATAGCTACCATGTTTCAGAGGATAAAATTCTTATCTCATTGGTTTTAGCTACCGCTCTTAGCAGTATGAAAGCCTCCTTCATTTTTTAAGAATGTTAACAATATAAAAAAAAAGTTAAAAAATAATGGAGAAGGAGGTGTTGGAAAATTGCTGGTATTGGCACTTTAAATCATACATTGAAAACTCAAGGTTTGAGTTCCGAAAAATTGTAATGCAGATTTTCGAAACTAAATGTTTAAAACGGAATGTTCATGGCATTATTAAATATGATGTTTTCCCTATTCACACAACACACTTACTTTATGTGAGAGTTTTGTTTACCGAATCTTACTTCTTTTTAAGTGAGTGTATTTAAAATCAAATGAACATTGCCATAAACTTCTAAAACTCTATTTTTCATGTATGATCCAAAGAGTGCTCGGTATTATTTCATTTCGAGCCTTGGACTATGTCTGAAAAGGAGCCCAGTCGCGTCCGCGGCACTTTTCTCACGGCTGTGGTCAGCATACTCGCGCCCGGAGTCACATTCCTCGTGCCTACGAGCGTTTTGGGTAAAATCCCTTATTTCTCACTTCAATCGCAACCGCGACCTGGTTTTTCACCTCTTGTCTGCCTATTCCTCCTCCTGTGCATCTAGGGTTTGGTTTCCTTGGGTTTTCATCAATTCCTGATGATTTCTAGGTAATTTCTTCATTTTTCCCTCTTGATTTCATGTTTTATTTTGTTGATTTGAGTTTTGATTTTGGTTTCAAGCCCTAGGTTTTTGCCCTCTTGTGTCTCTCTCTTGTGTTAATCAATTTTTGTTTCTTTCCTCCATGATTTATTCTCGTATTTAATCCCTAGAATTTCTTCTCTTTGATTTGAGTTGAGGGTTTGTGGTCCAAGCAATTTATTTTCTCCATATTGATGGTAGTGGCAAATTTATTGTTGTTAAGTATCTATTTTGTGTTTTTGTTGTCATTTTGCTTAGATCCCTAGATTTTAGTCTCATTTGATTTTCATATTTTTTTTAGGCTTTGTGGCCCTAGAGTGTTTTTTCCTTATCTTTGTTAGGTGATACATTTCTTATTCGTTGGGTCTTTGGTATTTTTGTCTCCTCCGTAACTATAGTTTTGGAATTTTTGGGTGTCCATGGCTTCCTCTTCATCTAAAAAGAGAACCAAGCAAGCTGCAAAAAGGGAAAATTTTGGCTGTGTTTGGTGTGAGTTTCAAATCAAGTTTCCACCCTTATATTTGAATGCTATGTTTGGTTTGAGTTTTCAAATTATGATTCCAAATCAATTTCAAAACACATATTGAAAACATATTTGGTAAACCAGACAATTTTTAAATTTTTTGTCTACCCGGTCGTCTGCCTGGACATCATCCCGGATGTTCGACTGGTTGACCGGAACTAGGCCTGTCAACTAGTCAGATCCGAGTCGGATCCGTCAAAATCCGATTCGATCTGATTAACCATTAATCCAAATCCGAATCTGATTATTAAAAATCTAATTACATGTAATCCGATCCGATCCGTTTTAAACAAATATCTTATCCATATAATCCAATCCGATCCTTTTTCCTCTCTCTCTCTCTCTCTCTCTCTCTCTTTCTCTGTGTGTGTGTGTGGTTAGCAGCCATATAAAGTCAATAAAATACCAATTATAAAAAAAAACATTGTTTGTAACATCAAATTTTGAATACTTCTACTACTCATAAGATTATACAAAAAAAAAAAAAAATCAGTATCTAAAACATTCAATGCTTTTTTTTTGAAGAAAAAAAAAATGGACAGAACATAAGAAGGGGAGATGAATACAAAAAGCAAACAGATAAATCATTCAGTATCTAACTTATAAAAAAAAAATGCACCTAATATTTTTTTTTATCTAACTCATTCAAAGTTAAATCATGAAACTTAATATTTTTTTCACTATCTAGCTCATGAAATACTAAACCATGGCAACCATAGACAAAAATAAAATAATTATAATAGTTAACAATTGATTTATACATTTACACCCACATTTCACCACAAAAACAAAATAAAGTAATTAATGACAAATTATCCACAAGCTCCTAAGTGAATTGTCTTAGACTTTATTTGTATGCATTTAACTGACTCCATCTCTTTCTCCATTAACACCATTGTGAAGTCCTACACTATTTCAGTCCTGCACAATTGAAATAGAAAATAGTTCAATTGACCTTGGGTTCATGGACAAAACAAAAACAAACCCTTGTAATTCTAGTGAGATGATAGTAAAAAAGAAAAAAAGAAAAAAGGTGTGTAGATAACTTCTATCACAATGCAAATGACATACCAAGTGATTCAATTCATCTATGTTACTACCTACCAATCTAGACTACGAAGGCTTCATGAACTTACCATTCACATGAAGTTACCATGCAGTATAACTCTCTTATTTTAGTATTTTCCTACTGAGATGTATGTTGGAAGAAAATAAGTAGTTATTTCTTTCAAATTCACTTGTCAGTTCTCACAAGCATTGTCTATTTGCCTGCATATTCTTTATGTTGACTATAGAAAAGCAACATTGCATCCTCTAATTCCTTCCCAAAACCTAAAAAAGGTTAACTATTTTGTAAAGAGAACAGCTTAAAAATTAAGTTTTCCTTCTATGATGCGGTTTATACCCATTATCAGACAGAAGTCAGATGACATGGAAGCTTCCAATAGTGGAATTAACCATATTATAGCATTTTGTAACTAGAACCAAGGCATGTACTAAACTGATGTTCATAATGTCGACAAAGACTTGGCGTACAGAGATTTGTACTCCATTAAAAAAGTTGAAGTGGGGATAAAGACTAAACTAAAGGGTAATGCATATTTGTAATCCATTAAAAAAAAAAAAACCACATTGCTCTGGCTCGAGAATCAGTCACCCATTTGATTGTTTCTCAAGAAACAAATGTAAGAATTTGATGGCATTCTATCTATTCTGTTAAACTTGGAAAATCAAAAGTCATATATGATATTATAAGACATAACATTTTTTCTTCCCTTTCCTTCTGTTTTATTTTCTTGGCAACCAAACAGATCAAATTTATCCGTCAATGTGCAACTTCCACCAATAATCCAGGCAATCAAAAGGACAAAAAAAGAAAAAGAACAAAGAGAAGAGTATGAAGATCATCAAACCTACAAAAGTTTCAAAACAGAATTCAAAAACTCAAAACTAAACACATTGCTCTGTGATAGAGCCTTTGTCCATATAGATCACTCATTTCTCCAACTTAAGATAACTTCTCCTATCACAATGAGAATGACAAACCAAGTGATTCAATTCAATCCATCTACTCATATGAGCATTCTTCTACATCCGCAATTTCAAAATAATGAGACATTAAGATATTTATAGAACTAAACCAAGTGATTCGGGTTATACCCAATCCATTGACAGGCCTACATGGAACACACATGAAGAATGTGAAGCATATATGTGTCTGCATCCCATACTTTCTCCTTCATTTTTTTTCGGATTCCACGATTCCAAACACAATAAACAGAAACAAATTTGAGTATGCAATTTCAACTGGCATATAATGAAACATGTGTGTTCACGAGTGTTCAGATATCAAAGATAAAATAAAAAAATAAAAAAAAAACATATGCGATATAAAAAGTTAAATGTTCTATCATGTAGTTCAAAACAAAGGACAGATGCATGAAGAATGTGAAACATTGACGTCTGCATCTCCTACTTTCTCTACTTTTCTTTCTTTTTTCTTTCAGAATTCTATAACTCCAAATAGGCAATATATAAAAACAAATTTGAGTATGTAATTTCAACTGACAAATAATGAAACATGTGTGCGCATGTGCATATACTACAGCTAGCGAAAAAACAAAATGTGTGGTGAACATTCTATCATGGAGTTCAAAATAAGTATGTTCACATAAAAGGAACGCAATGAATATCCTGAAATAACAACATATGTAAGAACTTCATATGCTAAAAGGAAATACCATGAGCAAAAATTCCATCTGATATGGTTCCACAACTTGAGAGAAAACAATTTGTTCAGTCGAATTCAAAATGGGTTAAATTGAGTTTTTATTCTGGAACTTTCAGGAACTAAAAGCCAGACAGAAAGCAAACCCAAATCAACAAGGATAGGAAATTAATGTCTCTAATAGGTTCATAATCACCATTGTAGTATAAAAATGGAAATGGAAATGTAATCGTTTATTAAAAAACCTAAAGTAAGCGAACAATATAAAAAATGAGAAAACACAATGACAATTACATGGACTACAAATTTGTGAAGTTTCAACGAATTTTCACGAGCATTTCACGATATACATCTCTCTTTTTGAAAAATTAAATAGCATTTGGTCAGCCCATATTGATTAGTACAGCTTTCTTAACAATAGAAAACCATAGTCATGTGGACAGAGATTAGTGCGAGTTACAATATACTTAAATGAACACCGGAACACAACACACTAAAAATTTTAGAACAAAGAACCAATTAGTTCCCCCACCAAATAACTTTAAATGGATTAGTTTATTTCAATCCATCTACCCACGTGAGCATTCTTCTACATCTGCAATTTCAAAATAATGAGACATTATAGAACTAAACTAAAGAACATCTAATTATTTAAAAACTTCAATATTTCACTTACTTCTATTTTTGGTTGATTCAATCCAATCATTGCAAGTGATCAGGGCCTCCACAATATTTGGAAGTAATAAAGCCCATGTCTCATCAATCACCCTACCGTCTACACTAAATGCCACCTCTGATGTAACCATAGTAGCTGGAACACTTAAAACATCACAAGTCATCCTTGACAAAGTAGGAAATTTTGCTTTATTGACTTTCCACCAATGTAGAATATTGAAAATCTCATTACTTGGAAACACCAACTCCTCCAAGTATTGCTCCACCTCTGATTTTTGATAGGCGTGAATGTTAGAAGCACGTTCCTGGGCATACCACGTATGAAAAGCAGCCAAACTTTCTTGTTTTCAAGAACCGACAAGCAATTGACTACCACTTGAGCTACTATTTTCATAAACAAGTGCAATGGAACTCATAGAATCAGAAGAATCACTCCTATACTCATAAAAAAATATCAACAAAACCATTACGGACCCTCTGAATATGCTTATTAGCATCAACACCATAAATAAGCCCAAAGTAGTATGAAAAAATCTAAAAATCCCCTAGATATTGATTTGTGATTATGTATCAATTTTAATGAGTAAATAGCAATGCCAACCAAACAATCAAAGACAAATCAACACAATGATTTAACGTGGAAAAACCACAATTAGAGCTCCTCCAATTGTGATAAAAAAAACCACGGGCAAAAGCTATAAAACAATCCACTAAGAAGACATAAAGGAATTACACAAGTGTGCTCTAAATTACCTAGCGAATCCACGTTTGAATCGAACCGACCCCTATATGCCTCTTCCAGCCCTGTCTTCACCTCAAAATTGTCTTGCCCAACGTTGAATCCACAACACCGATGTCGAATCACGACGATGAGCCACTCTGGAATCCACCAAAGCTTCACACCCAAATTCCACGAAATCCACCAAAGAACGACACTCTCTTTTGTATTGAACAAAACAAATAATCCTTTGATGTATACTTTTCAAACCAGATTTAAACTCAAACAAACATCAAAGAAACTAGCAAAGAAGCTCCAAATATAAACCCTAATATCTAAGAAGAAGGTCTAGAAACCATTACCCTAAAAACAGATGAAACCACATATTTATAGAAAACTAATCCGGGATCTCCGCTCGAATGCTAGAAAGTTCGCTTGAGCGTAAAATCCCAACTTCCAGTACTTTGCAGATAGTTCAAACTTCTAGAAGCAAAAATTCTCCGCTCGAGCGCACAAATGGCCGCTCGAGTAGACAAGCAACTTCGACTGCAATTTTGCTTCTGGTTTCGGGGCACTACCCCATGACCCCACCTGGGTGCTACCTCGGACCCACCAAGGGGCGCTGTCCCCTGGACCCTCACGAGCTAATCGGTCAACTCGATCCCCAACATAGTCAGCAAAGTGGCAAACATGAAAGAATAAACTTTTGAAACATCTCTGCGAGGTGCAATTTGGGTTGGATTCGCATCTAAAACTCATAGCCTCACTGAAATAAAAGATCGAATACAATTACAACTTAAAGGCATTTTGTCAAACGGGGTTGCTAAGAATAAAAACCTAGCATAATATTCCACCAAGTCCATTTTAAATCTCGGATCGAGAACCACTGCAATTGCTAACACCAAAGAACATTCTTCCCAATATTTTTCAAATTTCACTCTCATTGGACCGCCCATCAATCTAATGCAATCATACTCACTTTGCTCCCATTTTTTCATTTCGAGTTGAATAAGACAAATATCAGGAAAAAACACATTTGAAGTAGGAAAAGTGGTACCACTAAAGTGAGATGTAGCATCAAAAAAAACCTTCAAGCACCGACAAATCATATTTACTACATTCCACTCATCCTCAGAAGGATTGTGCTTATATTGTTTGTCAATTTGCCCTAAGCATTAGAATGCACTTTTCAAACCTAATGCAGCTTCAAGCATTAAATAAGTGGAGTTCCATCAAGTAAGAACATCCATGGGGACTTTCTTTTTATGATGTAACTCAACATGATTCACTGCAACATCAATTTTTTTTTTTTCACATAAGGAGACCTCCCTAAATATCTCACACTTTCTCAGATTTTTGAAAGAAGGCTCCCAATCACCTTCAAACCATCCTGAACAACTAAATTCAATATGTGAGCGCTACAACGCACATGAAACAATTGTCCACCCAAATGTAGTAATCCTTGGTCATGTAGCCATCGCTTTAAGAGTCTCACCATGACATCATTACTCGTTACATTATCGACTACCATTGAAAACAACTTCTTATCTATGTTCCACTTTAAAATTAGATCTTTGATAAAGCTAAACAAATGGTCTCCATCATGTGGGTATCAATGCGTCTATAAGCAAGGATTTTCTTCTTTAACTCCCAATCATTAGTCACATAATGGGCAGTCAAACATGTATAGGCAAAATTCTGATGGTCTGAAGTCCATATATCAGTTGTCAAGGTGATCTTAGAAGAGAGTTCATCCAAAAATTGATATAACTTGGCCTTTTCTATTTCATAAACATCAAGGACATCCGCCCTAACAGTGTTACGAGAAACAAGTTTGAACATTGGTTGAAGATTATTACAAAATATTTCAAAAAATTCATGCTCAACCATGTTAAAAGGATAATTGTGCTTGATTACCATCCTAGAAAAATCCATACGACTTCTCTCTTGATCGAATTTAAAATTTGCAGCCTTAGGAGTAGATTCAGAAGCAGCCTTACTAGCAATCCTAGGGGCATTTGGCCCTTTAAGTACTGGACATGTCTTCGACAAATGATTTTTTAAATGACTAGTCCCTTTCCTACTCTCTCCAACAAATTCCCTATTGCAATGCTTACATCTAGCTATGTCATTTCCATTAGGTCCTTTAAATTTGACAAAGTCATCCCATACCTTTGAAGTTAGTTTTCGAATCCTCTTTGTGGGTCCTTGAGATACATCGTCATCCAACTCGGCATCATCAGCAGTAATAGGTTCGCTATAATCCGAAGACATCTTTGGCTCTAAAACTCAAATATGCACTACACAAGAAATCAAACATAAAGGAGCAGGAGTTCATTTAAAAATAGTGTGCACCAATTTGGAAATTATATAGATTTGTGTGCATGTGATCAATCTACTGTAAAGGCATGTGGAATTCATTTAAAAACAAAAAAACTAATAAGCAGCTATCCCATTACTAAGTCTTTGCAGACGATTGTAGTGAAAAGATAAGCAGACATGTTTGTAGAGGATTGTAGTGAAAAGATAAGCTATCCCATGAATCTAACATAGAAGAGAAATTTCAGAATCAAGATGAATTTATGAAAATAGATTAAAATATAAAATTGATTATAACTAAAAAAAGAGAAAAATGATAGAAATTCCAAATGTTTTACTAATATTTCTACTAAATATCTCACATGAGTTTGAAATCCACACCATATTGGTCCCATGTAGGTCCGATATCCATGTGAGATATTTGGTAAAAATATTGATAAAACATTTAAAATCAATAACCTTATTAAAAAAAATGACATTACTAAAAGGTGCATATGGCACCTCCTTTTCAAATGTATGTATATTAGAATCTCCCCTGAATTTAACGTTTAAACGTTTAAACAATGTAAGAGTTTCTCCAGTACCCATCAAGTATGATCTTGTTCGACGCCTCAGCTTGGCCATTGGACTATGGGTAAGGCGGAGTAGAGTTGTAGAATTCAATCTTTAAATCTTCACAAAACCCTCTGAATAGGCGATCGTCAAACTGGGTGCCGTTATCAAAGATCAGAATTTTGGGGACGCCAAACCGGGTGACCACGTTCTGCCAGACAAACCGCTTCACGTCTTTCTCCTTGATTGTTGCCAAAGGCTCCGCTTCAACCCATTTGGTGAAGTAGTCTGTGGCCACGATGAAGAACTTCCGGTTGCCTAGTGCTGTTGGGAGCGACCCCACTATATCTAGCCCCCACATCGCAAAGGGCCAAGGGTTGGTGAGAGGAAGAAGTTCCCTGGCCGGCTGGTGGATCTGGTGGGCAAACTTCTGGCATTTCTCACACTTGCGAACATATTTCTAGGCGTCGGCTTGCATGCACGGCCACCAGTAGCCTTGCGAAATAGCTCGGTAGGCCAAGGACCTGCCCTCTATATGACTGCCACAGATGTCTTCGTGAATTTCGTAAAGGAAGGCTTCCACGCTGCTCGGGTGCACACATTTCAGGTAGGGACCGGTGAAATATTTCTTATACAAAGCGCCTGATGGAGAGAGCCAAAACCACTCGGACTTCACCCGCACTTTATGCGCTTCCTTCTTGTTAGCTGGAAGGGTCCGTTCTCTGAAAAAGAGGATTATAGGGTCCATCCATGAAGGACCTAGCTCGGCGCAGAATACTTCTGTCTGCCCTGTTTCCTCAATACTGGGCCTCGGAAGGAATTCAATCAAAAGAGGGTTGGGAGATGTGCTGTTGACCATAGAAACAAGGCCGGCCAACATATCTGCTCGGCCGTTTTCTTCTCAGCCAATCTGTTGGACCCTGATCGCCTGAAATCGCTTGATATGGTCTCTGACCAGAGCTTGGTACTTCATCATTCTGTCATCTTTGCCTTGTAAACCCCAGAAACTTGGTTAACTACAAGTTGGGAATCACTGTAAACCATTAGCTCGGACGCTTGCATCTGAAGCGCGCTCTTTAGACCGGCCAATAGCGCCTCGTACTCGGCCTCATTGTTGGATGCTAGGAAGCCAAGGGTGATAGAATGTTCAATAGTCAGTCCGTCTGGCGAAATCAGAACTATACCCAGCCCGGCACCGTGACGGTTCGAGGCTCCATCAACAAAAAGTTTTCACATTTCGCCGACAAAGAGCTTCCAACATTCTGAGGGGTCCTGAGAAGCTTGAAGGTTGATGGGATCACGGTTGCTCGGCTACTCGACTTCCAGTCCCGTGCTGAGCGGTTCCACTTCAACCCCCCTTGGTGATTCGGCGCTGAACTCAGCAAGTTGATCCATAATGCCTAAGTCCATCGGCGAATCGCCAGGTTGCGGTATTATGCCGGCCGCAAGCTCTATGCTGAGCGGTTCCATTTCTTCCCTCCTCGATGATGTGGTGTCGGACAAAGCGAGTTGGGCAGTGATACCCAACTCCGTCATCGCATCACCGGGCTGTGGTATCGTATTAGCTGAAGGTGCTTTGGCAGGGCGCGCAAGTTTCGCGTCGCCAATGCCGTCGAGCTGTGGTATTTCGGTCGAGCTTGCATTCACCTCTTCATCTGCCACGGCAATATCGACCGGACATACCGGATGAGTTCCAAGTGAGAATTCAGCAACGAAGTCGGCCAAAGTCTGGGCTTTAATGGCAGTGCGCGGCTGGAACTTCACATCGAACTGTCCCAATTCGACCGCCCACTTAAGAATCCAACCGAAGAAATCTGCCCGTTCGAACAAAGCTTTGAGGGGGAACTCGGTTAAGACGATGATGGAATGGGCATGGAAATAGTGTGCCAACTTCCATGAAGCCATCATCAAAGCTAACGCAAGTTTTTCCAGCGGCAAATACCTCGACTCCGCCGGTAGCAAGGCTT